TCCTCTGAGAGCTGAAACATTCCATCCTGTAGGAAGCTCCTTAAACAGTAAGGCAAACAACTTAAAACAGCTTCAGGAAGTCACTAAAAGGGACCAGATTCACTAGGCCCCTCCCTGCCAGAGTAAGCAATAAAAGCTAAGAATCCTCCTCAGATTGGCACAGCTAGGCTGCAAAGAACACTTTCAGAGGAGGAAAGATGCAAAGAAAACTCTAAGACCAGACCAGCTGCCCTGAAGGAGAAAGCAACAGAGCTGCCTGGAAGAGGTTTAGACCTGAGTCACTTTGAAAGGATGCTCTCCAGCCTGCTCAGCTGCCTGCAGTCTGTGCATTATGCTCCAGGTTTCCCAGAATCTGTGATCTGCCCTGCATGATGGGGTGGGCCTTGGTGATACAACTGTCTTTGAGTCATTTTTGCTACTGTAAGTAATTCCTTACCCAAATCCCTGTAAGTAACCCCAATAACAAATAATGCTACTATGAACACAGTTGAGCATGTGTCCTTGTGGTATGATTGAGCATTCCTTGGGTATATGCCCAAGAGTGGTATAGCTGGGTCTTGAGGAAGATTGATTCTCAATTTTCTGAGAAACTGCTATACTGATTTCCAAATTGGCTGTACAAGTTTGCACTCCTACCAATGGTTTAGGATCCATGTCTGGTGCATGAGCGGGCGTTTTGGAGCCCACTACCAATGGTGGGACACCTCTCACAGCCTTGAATCAGGGGGAGGGGCTTAGACCTCCCTTTATTGAATGTACCAGGCTCTGCTGACTCCCCATGGCAGACCTTACCTTCTTGTAGGAGGGAATAGGGTGTGGGTTGGGGGGTTGGCTGGAGGGGCAGGAGGAGGGAAGAGGAGGATCTGTGATTGGTATGTAAAATGAATAAAAACTTTCTTAATAAAAAATTGAATGAAAAGAAAAAAAAGTAACCCCAATAAAACTCATTGGTTCACCAAATTGGACATTGGGGGTATCTATACTTTGATATGTAGTAAGTTCTCTATAGAGTAGATATGTGTTGTGTCTCATGAGGGAAAGTTTTCTCATGCAACAATACCAATGAATATTCCAAACTGTGTGGGGAAAAGCCCACTAGGCCCCAACCCCACATAAAGAACTACAGGCAACTAAGTAAAGCAGGAAACAGGAGAGGTGGTCTTCCCCAGGGAAGAGCACACCAATTGGTTGTCCAAGGATAAATGGTCATCCCTGTAAACATAGATATACGTGAAATGCACTTTTTCAGTCCTTCATCTATGATCATATCCAAGGGTCTATAAATGTATGGAGCCCAATAAATATCACCACTACGGTAAAAATGAAAGCTTTGACTCTTGGAAGATTTCCCACACAGGCCTCAGTTGCTGGGGACCACAGCTATCTGTTGCCTCCACTTTTCTTCCCACCCTTTTCTCTACTGATGATGACTGGATCACTGGAGAAGGGAGAAGTTTATATGGGGTAGAAGGCTCTTATCCCCTTTGCTTCATTATATATTGTCTTAGCTACTGTTCTGTTGATGTGAAGGGACACAATGACCAGGGCAATTCTTACAAAGGAAGGTAATTGGGGATTGCTTATAGTTTCGGAGGGTTAGTCTGCATTCATCATGGTGGAAAGTAGACAGGCATGGCACTGGAGCAGTAGCTGAGAGCTTTACATCTATCTTTAGGTAGGAGAGAGAGAGAGAGAGAGAGAGAGAGAGAGAGAGAGAGAGAGAGAGAGAGAGAAAACTGGGCCTGGCATAGGCTTTTGAAACCTCAAAGCCCATCTTCATTTCCTCCCACAAGGACACACCTCCTAATCCTTCCCAAACAGTTCCACTAACTGGGTACTAAGCATTCAAATATTTGAGCCTATAGAGGCTATTCTCATTCAAACCATCACATATATAATTAGAGCAAAATAAAGGTTTGTTCTTTTAAATCTAAAAGTGAATAGTGAATGGTCTACTTCTGCCTCATACTTTTCAATAAGGGATATCCTGTTAATTACCAAATGCTGTTTCTGAACACTTAGGTGAATTATAGTTCTTGGAATACTAATTCCCTCTGTGATTAGTTTCTTAAGAAAGTGTTCCCCCACCTACCACCCAACAATGCCTGGGGCAGGCAAGAGAGCTGGCCCTGTGGTCATAAGAGTGGAGAGCTGTCCCAGACCTCTACTAGCTACAACATTCAGGAGAGAAGGCCCTGCATCTTGCTAGAGCAGCATAGTAGAGCCAACCCTGTTAGTGCAGATGTGGGTGAGTGAGCCCCAAAGCTGTGAGCACTGGAGAATTGTCCCCATCATTCATCTGTCTTGTGGTGGCATGGGCAGGAAAGAGATGCCCTCCTACTCCCACCCACCCATCAACACCTGAGGCAGATGGGAGAGCTGACCCTGTGGTCATAAGAAGAGGAGATCTGTCTCTGACCCCCACTAGCTACTACACTCAGGAGAGCAAGCCCTGAACCTTTCCTGGACAACACAATGGAGCCAACTCTGTTTGCACAGGTATGGGTAAGCCAGCCCTGAAGTATTAAGCAATGGAGAGCTGTCCCCATCACCCATCTTTCCTAGCGAATGGGCAGGGGAGAGTTGACACACACACACACACACACACACACACACACACACACACACACACGCCCTTATCAATGCCTGAGGCAGGTGTGAGAACTGGCCCTGAGGTCACAAGAGTGGGAGAGCTGTCCCTGCCCCCCACCAGCTGCAACACTCAAGAAGAGCAGTCTCTGCACCTCCTCTGGGTAACACAATAGAGCCAGCCTTGTTGGCGGAGGTGTGGGTGAGCCAGCCCCAAAGTTGTAAGTATGGAAGAGCTGTCCCCACTACTCATCTGTCGTGTGGTGGTGTGGGAAGGTAAAAGATGCCCCCCTTATCCCTTGCCCCTTAATGCCTGCAACAAATGAGAGAGCTGACTCTCCCTCTACCAGATGCAGCACTCAGGAAATGGGCCCTGGCTCTCACCTAGAAAGCACAGCAGAGCTGCCCAGTGGTCAGAGGTGAGTGTGACCCAGCCCCAATGTTATGAGCAAAGGAGAGCTGTCTCCATTACTCATCTGACATGTGGTAGTGTGGATGGAGGAGAGATGTACACCCTCCCCCACCTCCTGCCCATCAACACCTGAGACAGGTGGAGGAGCTGGCTCTGGGGTCATAAGAGTAAGAGGGCTGTCCCTACCTCTCACCAGCTGCAGCACTCAGGAGAGTGGCCCCTGTACCTCACCCGGGCAACACAATAGAGCTAGTCCTAACGGTATAGGTGTGGGAGAGCTGACTCAGAGAACATGAAAGTGGGAGAACTGGCCCCACCCTTCAATCATTGCTGCAAGAGGTGAATTAGCTGGGGCAATGCTGGAGAGCTCCCCCTGGTGGTGAGGACAGGGGAGAACTGTCTGGCAGACCAACCCTACAGCTGCCCACGTCCAAAACCAGGGTTATGCCTTGGCCCACCCCAACATCCACCTCATCTGTGATCTGCTGGGCCATGTAAAAGGACCTGACCCACAGACCCAAAGCCGCAGGACTTCCACAACACAGGGCAACAACAGGATATCCAAGAAGAGTCCTATCAAGGGCCCATCATCAATAGTGTAGTAGAAACCAGAGGCCTCAACCCAGACCAATGACTCTTTGCAATGAACACTTGCAAGTGAAGATAGATGGACAAAGGGGTTTACTGCGTGACTCACTGTGTCATACTGCAGCTTCCATGATGAGATTTTTTTAAATTTTCCCTTTTATTTTCCTTTCTTCTCTTAAATTCTGTCTTATTGGGGGGTGCGCATGGGTACAAGGCAGATGTGAAAGGAGGAGAAATGAATGGGATAGAGATACATGATGTAAAAGACACTGAATAAATCAAAAGAAAGTTAAGAAAGATTTTAGTAAGTCATGTGGTAGGTAATAGAATGGATTCATATAAAGAATGCAAGAACCTGTACACTCAGACTCTTTTTTTTTTTTTTTTTTTTTTTTTGCCTGATTTGACTCATGTACTTGAACAACTGGCTCATTCTTTGCCTTCACATTATACTTACTGTGGTATTGGTTCTATTCACGTCTCAACTACTTTTCAAGTATCAGTTTAGGACTTGCAAAATTCTTCTAATTTCTATTCTAAATTTTATTTCATTCTGTAATACATTTCTTCTTGTTGTTGTTTTTTTCAAGACAAGGTTTCACTGTGTAACAGCCCTGATGGTCCTGGAACTCACTTTGTAGACATTTTTATTAGTTAGTGTTCAGCACTTCCTCAGAAATAATGCAGACATCACATATAAACTGTTAACATCATACACAAGCTTTTATCTTCCTCCTTACGTCATTTCCTTCACATCCTCCTGACTGCCCAGCCAGCTCATTCTGTCCCTTCAGCTACAAGGCATGGAAAGCATTAAATGATTCTTAATATATTCATACTCACTGAATAATTCATAAAGTAAAGAAATCATCTTTTACCTCGTAATAATTTCAGCACTTAAAAAGAATAACACTCAGTATTGTGACAATGTTGAGATGAGTCAAAAGTGTTACAACGTTTATGGTGGAATAGCTTGACATCAAAGAGCTCTTGAGGCAACTCATTTAAACCCCAAAGGGCAGGAAATATTTTAAACTGTCCTTTGCTCTGGCTTCTCCTGGTTCTCAGCCTGCGGCTTGCAATACTAGTAACTCTTGCCTGTAGTCTCCCTCCCCTGGGTCTTTCCAGACACTATTCAAGGACTTGTCTTCCTCACTATAGTTGGCTGTTATCAAATGGAACTATCTATATACTTTCAGTGTCCCCGAGAAAGTCCTGCTGAAGGAATATCTCACCTGCTACACTCAGTGACCCCACTCAGCTCTAAGAAGCCAAAAAAAAAAAAAAAAAAAAAGATTGACATCCCAACTCCCTAGAAAGCAGTTAGGGTTACCTCTTGGTGTGGACTTGGGTATGAGAATGGGAGGTACATAATGTTTAACCTTACATGGGAAAAGAGATGCCCCTAAATCAGTAGTTCCAGAAATGTTCTCATTCCTCTGGCCACGAACAGCAGAGCTCCAGTTTCTCATCTCTTCCTAAATGAGCAGCCCTGCCTACAGGCTAAATTCAGGGGTGAGGACAAGAACTGCCATCCAAACATAGATCCCGTCTGGTGAACAGTTTTGGAATGGAATTTCTACATTTTTTGGTGAGGATGGGTTGTATCCAGTCCCCAATTCCAGCATATTGCGGGAGTTTAGAGTTACTACTTCCAAGGGGAAATGTGGCGGTAGAGAATGGGATCTCTCTCCAGTTGGGGAGTTGCAGTTGTCCCCTCCCTTGAGAGTTAATCCAGCTGGGCAGGCCAACAGCCTGGCTAAGGGATCACCCCCCAGGAAGGTGGATCCACTTGAATATGTGCTTAAGAGATAGAAGGAATAACTGTCTCTCTAATAGGACCATTGCCTTTTCCTTCCAGGGTCCCCGTCCTCTGTAGTTGATGCACAGCCACCATAAGTTTCCCTTGGGTCTGTCTGCCTTTCTAAGTGAAGAAAGGCATCATGGCCCCTTTTCTTCTCTTCTTTTTCTGTTGGATGCTAGCCAGAGCCTAAGCATGCTTTCTCTGGTATTTTGGGCTTCTTCCCTCTCTCTCTAAAGCTCCTCTCCCCATCTACATAACTACTTATTCACCATGTGGCTGACCTCCACAGCAGCTTACCTGAAACAGCATGGCTTTTCTTTCTCTTCTCCGCCTTCCTCATCCAGCCAAGATTATAGCTAGTCTGCACTAGGGTTTTTCTTTTAAACTAACAAAGTTGTTCCTGAGCTTCAAGAAAGACAAATTAAAGATAATTCAAGATAGACAATAAAATTATACAGATATTGTTTACAATTGGACTTGTGTCTCTTTGCCCTCATCCTAGGTGAATCGCCATAAATCTAATTACTTTTAGATGTGGAAGAATTTACATGTGACTGTGGTTAAAACAGCAATAATTCAAGTCACTCCGCATTTGGGGGTGCATGTAAAATGTGCAGGCACTGTTTTGCGCGTCCTGAGTATTCAGTAATAAGTAAAACAGAGAAAACCCCATCCTTGTGTTTCAAATCCCACCCTCATGTTTCCACTGCTCATCACACACCTGCTCTTGTAATTAGACTTTAGCAAGTATTACCAAATGTAACATATGATACATCTTTTAAATAGTTGTATAGCAATCTGTAGTATAGAAATGTGAGAGTATATTCAACTATTCGTTATGTTGTTGGGTCTTTTTTCAACCGTTCTTTGTGAATTGAGAGTCCATTTAGATTTTGTTTTGATTTTTGCAATCATAGTTACAATAAACACCAATTCAACAGAATCACGTGCGTATAATTTATATGCACAAATAGTGATTATTATTTCTAAGGGAAAATCTAACCTGGGTGAGTACAAAGTTACCAACAAGTCTGTGTTTCCCAGTTGGATGCTCTAACTGGATCTTGCCTTTCCCAGGTATGCGGTATGCGGAGGCTCTGGTACTATCCACCTGTGTGGTGCTGAAGAAGGAACTCATTTTCTCCATCGGAACGCAGTTCCGTACACCTGGTCTCCCTTTGCCGCTCAGAATCTTCAGCCGTCAATGTCTATGAGAAAGCCTTTCAAAACCACATTTAACTTACAAATGCAAACCCCGCAGTGTCGTCTGAAGTACTCGGCGGTCGTCCTTTGGCTCATCCTTCCTCTTGGAGGTTGTCACGACCTACACCTTAAGTGCCACACTAGTTTACCTTTGACAGAGCCAGTTAGTTCTCCCTTACAGATTCGCGTAAATATATGTGATTGACTACGGTGTCTTTTTTGAGGCAAGAAATGTACAATGGAAATGGACATACAGGACTCTCTCGGCCTCTCCCCGACCCCTTTCTGCCTAACCCGCATCTGTCTTTCCACCCGCACCTGATCTAGTGTAGCTTCCGCTCCACATGAGAAGGAACTCTGCCTTCCCGGGCCATTTGCCCTAAGCTCTAGAAAGGATACACTCATTTCCTGAAATTTAAATCACTAGCTAGCAGTTTTCTACCCCGTTTCCCGTCAGTTGCCTCGCCTCCATTTCCCATCTCAGCCTCTTCACTCCAAATCTCAGCTCAGACACTCTAGAAAGGAAATCCACATCTCCTGGTGCCTAGACACTGGGGGCTCTGCTCCTTGGTGTAGCAATTAATCTTCGCCCAGTGCCTGCCCGCCCCATCCTCCTCCTCGCATCCGGTGCTGTTCTAGGAGGAGCCTACACGTCAGTCCTGCTGAAGGGGATTGTGGTGCGTAAACAGGATTAACTCTCTAGCCCCCAGCTGTGCTGATTTGCGGGGCAGCCTGCCAGTCCAGTCCCCGAGAGCCCTCGCCGTGCGTGCAGAGCCCAGAGCGTGGAGCGGGGGATGGGGCAGCCAGCTGCCTCCGTGCTGTGTCTGGGGCTGGCTCCGTGGCTGAGTGCGGTGGAGGGCCACAGCCTCAACAGCAGCTGCTCAAAATCTGGGGTGGACGGAGGCGACCGCTGCTAGCTGTGGCCTGCATCCATCTGCTCCCTCTTCCTCCCTGCCTGTCCCCTCCGCCCATCGCGCTGCAGCAGCTCCCTCCAACCCACACTGTCCATCATCACCAGGGCCAGGGTTGCCAGCCCCTCTGCCAGCTATGGGGGACCTACCGGGGCTCGTGCGCCTTTCCATCGCGCTGCGCATCCAGCCCAATGACGGCCCTGTTTTCTTCAAGGTGGACGGGCAGCGCTTTGGCCAGAACCGCACAATCAAGCTGCTCACCGGCTCCTCCTACAAGGTGGAGGTGAAGATCAAACCCACAACACTGCAGGTCGAGTGAGTGTGGGGCGCGCCGGGCGGCAAGGCATTGATACCCCGGGTATGGGAGGAGCGCGGAGGCCCCAGGACATCCCTAGCCTCCACTTGGTTCCCTTAGTCTCTCCCGGGTTCAGCGGGACCTGGGGTGAGGGCAAGAGGTGAACGCCCTGTCCCCCAGCTACTCTCATGCCCCGAGCTTGTAGCCCTGCATTCCATCTTCCTTCCACCCATCTCAGCAAGAGCCTTTAAATCTACGACAGGAAGCCAGGGCTTTGGGGCTTTCGTTGTTGTTGTGTTTTGGGGTTTGCTTTTGTTTTATTGTGAATTTCTCTTCGGTCCAGCTACAACGGGGAACCACAGGTAGATAGGGTGGGGCAGTTGGTAGAAAGACAGGGAGGGGTTCAGCAACCGCAATCCCATCCCTCCTCTCCTGGATCCTAGGAGCTCTCCTGCTTCTGCTGGGGAGACTGAAGCGGGTGGGGGAGGGCTGAGGAATGAGTAGCCTCAGAGGACAGATGGTCACTGGTTTCCCCGAGGGGTGCTCCCCACTACTCCTTTCCAGAGTTAACGGCACAAATTAGAGGACACCGCCTGTGCTTTGGCCTACCTTTATGGTTTTCCATGAACTGTGCCTTTTCTTTCTTTGCTGGCTAAATTTTTCGGTCAGCCTGGTGATGTTACCTGTGATGGTTAACAAGACAGGTGTAAAGCAGCGTAGTGGCGTATGGAAAATATTTCATACATGAGTCTTGGTTTCATTTCCTGTTGGTGTGATAAAATTCCCTGGCAAAATCAACTTAGGGAAGAAAGGTTTTGTTTGGCTCACAATTTGAGGTTACAGTCCATCTTGTGGAAGAGTCAGGGCAGCTGGAACCTGAAGAAGCTAGTCATAATTACATCCACCGTCAAAAACAGAGAGCAGAGAATGGGTACCTGCACACCAGTGCTCAGCTGCTCTCTCCTTTTCCTTAGCTCCAGAGTCCAGCCCTCTGAGGTACCCTCCACTTTTAGGATGGATCTTCTAAGGCCAAGCCATCATCGAGATAGTCCCTCCTTGAGAATCCCTTCCCAGGTGGTTCTAGATTGTGTCACATTGACAATTGGAACCAGCCATCACAGGGTTTTTTACACTTACCTTTCACCTAAACATTGTGTAAAGTCTGGATTGTAAGAAAAAACAACCCAAAACTTAGCATACCAAACATATGCTGAGGGAGGAAGGGGCTTTGAATCCATCAGATACTTTTAGTTTGAACTCAGTAAAGTTATTTTATTTAGTCTTCTTGGCCCAAAGATCTGTAGACACGCTTGGATGGTTTCTGGCATTCCCAGTCCATTGAATTCATCAGCACCACCACCCCACAAACCTCCACCTCACAGGTCCCTGTACCCAGTGTCCTTACACTGCCTAATTGTCTCTGCACTTGTATCCAGGCTTTTCCTTTCTCATCCACCATGACAACATTTGCCCTCACTTATAAGTGTTATTTCCCCTTCTTTTGGGGGTAGTTCTCTAGATTTTGAGTTAATCTAAAAGCAAATTGGATGGTGGTAAAGTTTTTCTCTATTAACATTTAAGTTTTATTAAGGATTTCTTCAGTGCTCTAATCCAGGAACTCCCAAATTGAGTTGGTATCAAATTCCTGAAGGACTGGTCATTTGGGGCTCACCAGAGTTTCTAGTTTGATATTTCCATGGTGAAGCCTAAATGTTTACATTCTGATAGTTGGTACTCAGACTTTGCATTGAGAACAGGTATCCTGAGATAAAGGAGATCAGGAGTGATACCACTGAGAATTTCTAGAATGTGATAAATCTGAAGGAAAACCTCTGATTGTTGGAACAAAAAATAATAAAACCCATTAGAGAGGTCAGGAGTCTTTGAAACTATATATATATATCCTAGATTTACCAGTATCAAATTACATCCCAGAGCAATAGAATCCTGATCTCTGGAGTTTGGAGTCAGGCTGAGCATAAGCGGAATTTTAATTCCATAGATGATTTCAATGAGAAAAGAGTTCTTCTACATGAGAATACTGAAGTCAGTCCAGAGAGTGGAAGTAGTTGGTCTATGATCATAATACTGCGTGGCTGGATAACTGTAACCTCCTAAACTTTCAGAAGTTTCTACCATGTCTTCCTTAGCCAAACCCTGTGGGTTTCCTCTCTAGGATTTTGGTTTAGACTAGAACAGGATACCTAAGCTAATTCCTACCATCTATGCTCAACTCAAGTCCATTGCAGGAACATTTCCATTGGTGGTGTGCTTGTCCCACTGGAGCTGAAGTGTAAAGAGCCTGATGGGGAGAGAGTTGTCTACACGGGGATATATGATACAGAAGGTGTAGCTCCTACCAAAAGTGGTGAGCGACAACCCATCCAGATCACCATGCCGGTAAGTCCAAGTTGGGGATGTAGGGGTGTGGTTCCAGAACAAATAGAAACTACAGGAGGAAAAAAATCACTACCTCTTTAAGAATAAAAAAAGATGCTTTGGAGCCAGTTACTACAGAAATTGGGTTCAGTTTCCCTCATGGACCTGTGGGAAGAGAGAGAGAGTAATGTAACTGATGCTCTTTTGCATGATGGACTGAACTTTCAGACATCAGAGAAGCCAGGTAAATGGTTCTGGGAGAGATAGTCTCTATGTTGCCATTTTCTCTGGTGTGTTCTACACAAGGACTTGTTTAAATAATTCACTCTGAAAAGGTTGTGATTCTACATGGCTCATAGTCCTTTAAATGTGAAAAAAAATCTCTAAATAGATGACATTTTGCTATTTAAATGCACTCCACCTGAAGGAACCTAAAAAGTGACTGCTATGGTGGACAATAAGATGTTAGTCCTACCACATTCAATCAGTCATTCCTCTGTATCCATGGGGGATTTGTTCCAAGATCACTCACAGATGCTGGAATCCACAGGTGCTCTTCCCTTATATAGAAAATGGCTCAGTATTTGCATATAAGCCATGCACGCCATTGCGTACACTTTAAATCATCTTTAGATTGTAACCATTATTTAAATATCTCTTACGTTGTATTCTTTAGGGAATGATGACAAAAAAAAAGTCCATGCATGTTCAATACACACACAATTTTCTTCTGAGTGTTTCCAGTTCAAGGTTGATTAATCCACGGATGTAGAGTCTATTCACATAGAATACATGTGCATATTATAAGAAAACATTTATCACCAAGGAATATTGACGTTGAATAGATAAAAGGATAGAGTTGGCCAATAAAGTTAGTTAATTGTACACGCACATATAATAGATGATGCAGTAAGCTTGCTAAAATATAAGAAAAGGGAAGATCACCCAGCAGACTACTGTAAAAACTGGTCAGTCTTTTCCCTCAGAAAGAGCAGTTTTGCTCTGTGTGCCCTCTGCCTCCACAGAGGAGATCACAGAATTTCCCAAATATCCATACAGAGAAAAAATTCCTCTGAAGGTTACTTAAGATTTCAATCCTAGTTTTCATGTCCAGTTTTTTGGGCTTTTTTGTTGTTGTAATTTAATGATGGGTAAGCTAGGACCAAAGAAACTGACATGCTTACAGAGCATCAACCCTGATAAAGACGATCTGTGGAATCCCCTTTAGAGACACGGATCTAAGGTCTTATCCATCCCATCTGACAAAACCTTAAGGCCTCACAGTGTCCAAAATCCTCAAAACAGCTACAGTGGTAACATAAGGAAAGAATCTAGGAGCCCATTCTTTTGAGAGATACATTTGAACTTCTTTAGTCAGGAATTCTATTTTCCACTAGAGAGTCAACAGAGGAAAATACAAAAGTGGGGAAAATACTAATTTCTCTTAGAGACAACTGTCGTCAATATTTTAGTTCGTGTTCTTAGAAAGCTGCTTCTGCTATGTCTTTGCATGCATGCATAGGTTTTTTCTTATATACATATACATCCAAAGATGTAAATATGGAACATAATTTTGAAGTCCATTATGTGAGTGTATCAATATCTCCTATTACCTACTGGTTATTTCCATTTCTCACTACTGTAAGGAAAACTACTTTAAGTTTTACTCATGTCTGCAAAGTTATTGTTTACTTGGGATAGATTTCCAAAAGAAACGTGCATGCTAGGGGATTTTTACAAACACTGACCTCTAGGAATGCAAGGAGAGTCTGGACAGATGACTCAGTAGCTTGCCAGCCAGCCTGACAACCTGAGTTCAATCCCCAGAGCCAACCTAGTGGAAAGAAAGAAATCCGACTTAGGCTGCACCTGAGACATACACCTGCACAATAAATGATAGGATACTTAATAATAATAAATAAACATAATTAAAAACCACTTTTAAATGTTTTAACAACAATAGAATATATTAACATTTTTGTTTCTAATTACTGCTGGCTTGAAATATTTGCTGTTTGTGCTTCCTTTATAAATTACATATCATATCTTTTATCCATGTCAACCTGTGCTTCTTACTGACTTCAATAAATCTTAAAGTGATCTCTTACTGTATTTTAAATGTGCTCATCAATTATCATGTGTATTAACTTTGGTCACAATGTAAATTTAATTTTTTAAAATATAGCCTGACATATTAATCTTTCCTTCTATGGCTTTTGCAGTTAGCACCAATCCAGAATAGAAAATCTTTCCTAATTCTGAGATTAATTGTGCATACATATAAACACAACTACATTTGTATATTTTTATTTGGATTCTCATGGTTTCATTTGTGAAATTTTGGATGAATTAGACTTAAATATCATTTCAGTTCCTATCATTCTATTGGAAGATAATGTAGGGATTAATTCCTAAAATAAGCCTAACTTAAATATTTTATTAAATATATTCGTAAATTCAATGGTATAAGATTACATTTAGAATTTTCATATTATTAATTTTTATTTATTTCATTTATCAGAAAGTATTTGAGAGTTCAGTTCCCAGCATTGATATCAGGGACTCACAGCTGCCTGTAACTCCAGCTCTAGAAGATCTGATACTTCCATGATACTTCCATCCCCCTGCAGGTACATGCACTCATATCACAACCTCCCACAGACACACATAATTTAAAATAATAAAAATGGAAGTTTTAAGGGAGGATGCCACAGAGATAGCTCAGCAGTCAAGTGTGTGTAATGCTCTTCTAGAGGACCAAGTTAGGTTCCCAGCCCCCACCACATGGCTCACAACTGTCTGTAACTCCAGATCCAGGGGCTCTGACATCCTCTTCTGACCTCCAGAAGCACCTGTACTCATGTGCACGTAGACACACACCACACACACACACACACACACACACACACACACACACACACACACACACACACACCATTTACAAATAAAATAAATCCTATTTTAAATGCCCAAACTGTTGTAACTTTTTCTTCCCACTGGAAGTATTGTGTGAATCCTGGTTGCTTTAGACTCTCTGTAGATGCCCATCTTTAAGTCTGAAAATGAAAGAGACCTAGAATATCCAACAAAATTTCGTTTTGCAATCTATACTGATTTCTTACTTTAGAACTACAAGTTTATATTTAAAACTTTGGATTGTTATTCTGAGCCCTTTATATTTTTATAGAGATTTTAAAATTATCTTGTATATTTATTCAATAATTGGGCTGCCATATTTGCATTAAGTCTATAGGTCAGCCAGGTGTGATAGCATACACCTGCTAATCACAGCTACTCAAGAGGCTGGGATAGCTTGTGCCCACGAGTTCAAGGTGAGGCTATGAAACATAAGGCACTGTATGGAGGAGAAAAGGAGGAGAAAGAGAGGGGTAGTCTATATGTGTAATCACAGCAATTGGAAAGCCAAGGGAGAAGGAACAATACTAGACAACATACCAAGGCTGTGTCAGGAAACAAAAATCAGTGATGAAAATCTACAAATCACTTTAGAGAAATTTGATACCTTTATATTGAGTCTTCTAATCCATTAATATATCTATTTAAAGTCCTCATTTTCTCTCATCTTCTGTGTAATAGGTTACAATATCCCCTATGCAGGTTTCATGATTTTTTTTAATTTACTATTATTTCATAATTCTCTATGCTACTATAAATAGAATTCTTTTCATTGCTGATATGGATATAAAATAGGTTTCTGCATTAATCTTCAATCCTGAAATCTGGCAAATCTGGTTGATTCATCCTGTAGCTTTTCTTGTGGAATCATTGTTAATTTCTACATGTGCTGTCATGGAAAAATTCGTTTTTCTTTCTTTCTTTCCTTCCCATCTCTATTCCTTTTATTTATGGCTTGATTATAATAGCTAAGAACTTCAGTGTGATGCTGAATGGAAATGGTGAGAGTCATTTTCCCTGTCTCTCCATCTTCAGGAGAAAGAGTTCAACTTTTTAACAGTATGATATTAGCTATTTAGTTTTTAATATAAACTCAGTATTAAAGAGATTCCCTTCTGCTTTCCTGAGCACTTTCATTATATTGTTATAGAATGTTTTCAAGATCTTTGTGTATTAACAGAGTTTAATCATCTTCTTCTTTGTTTTGTTTATATTTCTTTTTTCCAATGTTGAAATAACCTTGAATTCCAAGATAAGTAGTAATTGATTATGGTGTGTTTTCTATATGAGAAGAATATCTTCTCATATTAATATCTTATTGATGAATTTTCTATCTATGTTTCTGCAAGTGATTGGTCTAAACTTCTCTTGTTATGTATTTATCTGGTCTCAATATCAAGATAGTGCTAGCTGCATGAAATGATTTGGAAAGCTTTCACACCTTACAGATCTCATAATATATTGAATAGAATTCACCAAAGTTTTCCATTAAAATTCAGTTTTATCAGATTAGTCATATTTACAGACTTTGCCTTTGAAGTAATTAATTTTATTGTTGTTTTATTTACTTCAATAAAACTGTTCATGGTAGTTCTTCTTTTAATATTTTATTTCAATTTATTTTAACTCTCTGTGTGTGTGTGTGTGTGTGTGTGTGTGTGTGTGTGTGTGTGTGTGTGTTCAGGTGCCTGAGGAAGCCAAAGGAAGCTGGCTGATGTGGGTGCTGAGAACCAACCTCAGGTCCTCTGGAAGAGCAGTGCTTACTCTTAACTGCTCAGCCATCTTTCCTGCCCCTCATGGTAATTCTTACCCATCCTTAGGACTTCTAACAAGATCCACTCTTTAACTCTTGATGTTCAAAATGTCTGTTTTTTCTGGTCAGTGTAGCTAGACATTTATTGCCTTTAACAACCTTTTCAAAATCCTGCCTTTGCTTTTACATGATTCTGGGCCTATATTTTCTTTCTCTGTTTGCCTTGACATATAATTGAGGTATAATACAAAGTAAAATGATGCCTTTATATAGTGTACAGTCTAGTTTTAAGTAGTTTGGCTGTGGTGCACCTAATTGTGTTTTTCTTTGTATTGGTTTTTATTGGGAATCA